AGGATGGAAAAAGCGGCCAGCCAAAAAAAATAAGGCCAAAAAATCTTAGAAAGCCAGAAAGCAGTTTTGCGGGGACCCCACCGCAGAGGACCAAATGTGGTTGGAAGACCCTTTGGAAATCAGTTGAGCCAATGGTTGGCTGGCTCTCTCCGTTGGCACTCATTTGTTTTGTTACTTTCTCCTTTGTTTCTATTTTATTTTTTATTTTGTGGCACTCTTTCATCACTATTGGCTGCTGCCTCCCGTGAGACTTTTTCAGGAACGACATGCCCTCCCCCCCCCCTCTATAGTTGGCACAAAATTGCGGCGAGGAAAAACAAAACGGTGTTTTTCCAAACGGCAATCTTCGGTCTGTGGGGTTCTGGAAAATGGTTTGCGGGAGAAATTTCACCTTTTCCTGCACATCTGCTGCCGGTTGTGGTGTCCTGGAAACCGTTTCACGGCGATGTTTTTCATGTCCGCAGTCCCATGGGGTCCAAGCCTGAAACAGCTTTTTGAAGGTAAGTTGTTGCACACCCAGTTTCAGAAAAATGCATTCTAGTCACTTTGGTTGCCACATGAAAAATCTCAGCCCCAAGAACAGCCAGACTCTTTCCTCCGCCCTGGCCGTCTTTGCTTGCCACATGAAAAATCTCAGCCCTATGTCTATCAGATCAAACGGATGGAATTTTTCTCACTTGCTGCACAAAAAAATCGACGATGGCCATGATTGATGGATAGACGACGGCTGAAATGTTTCCGCACCGCAAGTTAAAGGTTTCTTCTTTGCCCTGGTCCTTTCCTTGCCCTGGCCTACAAAAGAGGGTCAGGCTCTGGAAGAGTGAGGAGGGTCAGGGTTTACGAAAGACTAGAAGGCTCTGGGGAGAAAATAATCTGGCCCTGATTTGGGCAAGATTCAGGTCTGCTCTGGCCCCTCGTGGCTGGCATTTTGAGGAAATCTATGCCCCTAGACTGGATTCAAAAGTTGGCCACAAGACTGCAAATACCTCTTTCCCCACTGAAAAAAGGAAATTGGTTTTTGACGTGGCAGTATGTACCTCCTTGTTTTTGGGAAAAGTTAGGCGAAAAGTTGTTTCCCGGCCTCTCTCTCTTTTTGGGATAATTTGTAAATTCCCCCAGCAGCGGAATACGGCTAAATTTTTTGTTTGGGGCCTCTCTCTCTTTTTACGCTGTTAACCATTCATGAATTTGGTGCTGTTTTGGGCCAGATTCATGAGTCGGTAGGGGCCTTCTTTTTCAAATTACCGCACGTGGGCCTCATTCTATCCTTCAGCCTTCAGCGGTGTCACCCTCGGCCTCTTCTACATCAAAATGAATCTGGCTGTGTTTATGAGGCGGCCCTGAATTTTGGCCACCACGCAACTAAGGAAAATCAGGCAGTTGCGCAGAGCCAGTTGGTTAAACCACCGGTACTTGGCCCAGCTATCGGCCACCCAAAAAAAAAAAGTAGAAACGTTTCTAGTTGGATGAATTTGGGCGCTCCTGTAGTGGCCCGTACTAAAATCGTGGCGCGTTAACGGGCACAACTTTAGGAAGTACTGGTGGTTTAAGAGAGCCCAGGCCCTGGGTCGCCTGTTTGCATGAATCAAAGGCAGGCCCTGGGCTGGATACGAGAGGTGGGCCAGACACAGGCCAATGACAGTTGGGCACAAGCAACCACCACAGGCCCAGGGCCTGAGTTGTTTGGACTGGGCCTCAGCCTACCGGGGCCTACCGGAAGCTTCTTGGGAAAGGCCCAGCGCAGCCTGGGACAGAACGCAGGCAGGCCACTTCCATATAGCAAAGGGCCTGCCTCCATAGGGGACATTCGGGTGCTGGCTGCATGCTGCGCAAGCGCTGCTGCGCTGAAGCTGGCCAGCGCTCACGCGCTCATGGGCGAGCTGGAAGGAGCAGGCAGCAATAGCCAAGCTGCGCTGCTGTAGGCTGGGTGTGGCGCAGGGTGGTCCTTGGGTGCAAGTGGCATCTGCGAGCTGGGGAACAAGGTTGTGAGTGATAGGAGAGACATACCTGGTGCTAGAAGCGACGGCATTGTCCAAGATCTGCTCGTACTTCGCTGATCAGAAGCTATTGACGTCATCCGGCGGCATTGTAGATTAGGCTATATTGGATCTGCCATCTGTACTCTGGGCGCCAAGCGCCAGATAGGAATCCGATATCAACATTGGTTCTTCGTTGATCAATTATGAGCTCTTGGTGTGTTCTTATTTGGTGAAACTCGTGATGCAATTCTGCTGTTGGTTCGAGGTCCGACTATCTGGTCTTATGTGTATGATGCTGTTTGATTTCTGAAGTTCGCTATTGCTCATCTTCCTTGCATTTTCAACTCTCACCGTGATATCAATGCGGGTGCGTGCTTTTTTTTGCACTTTGCGCTGCCGCATCCGCTGTTGTTTCTTCTTGTAAAACTGTATTCCTCACATTGATGAACTTACCTCTTCGATCAAGAAATATCTTATCA